TTAATTGGTAAAACAGAAATGTTAAAACTTAATGTCTGTTTGATTTCAAGTGAACAAGTTTTCATAACACAATTTAAAGAATCCAATTGATGTATTTTTAGTAATTCAAGCAACTATTACATTACTATGACTAGTGGCCTGCTTACTGAAGAACACTCTGTGGTCCTGGGTGTTGGGCCGACCTCTCTCCTCGATGCTGAAGCTCATCTCTGTTGTTGGTTTCAAACTCTCGCTCTGTTGTACAAGGACAGTTTCAGGAGGACTAAGCAGCTGAGTGACAGGAAGTCATTGAGCCAGAGGAGCAGACATGCGCAGTGATTAAAGTGAGTGTGAAGGTTTCTGTCTGCTCTCTTTACACTCACTGGATTCTCCTCACATCAGATATTGACATCTAGCAAAGAATTTCTCACAGTAGTAATCAACAAGTAATCCGTCCTCATGACCACTTATCGACGTTTCTGCAATCTGTGCCTACAAACTGATTGTTTTCCTTTATTTCCCCTGCAGTGCAGCTGAGCACCTGAAGAGTTCTTCTGAAAACAAAAACAGATGGAGCTGACTGGCGTTAGCTGTAAACCAATTAACAAAGCAGGATTAGCTGCTGTGCCCGTGTCGTGACTTCTGCCTCCACAGTGTCACTATTCGATAACACACTTATGAGATACATTTAGAGAAAATCTGAATCAAAAACAATTCTATTATTATTTTGATGGTAAATAATGGCATTTTATGAGACCTGTTGAATGACACTGAAACCAAATAAATCTGCTTATTCACATTTTCTTTTGAGCTGTTGTACCCATGTTTTTGTTGTGTTTTCTGTCGCATTATAATTATAATATTGTTCTGTTCTATATTGTGTGCAATGGGTTCTTTTGTACTAAATTTATTCATTTAAATGTTAAAAACCAACCAGTAATAGCACTTATAATATGTCCGACTTTTCATTACTACTCATTACCACATTAAAGGTTATGGTCTGTATATATGCAGTTTATTACAACAGGAATAAATTATCATATATAAGCAACTTATTTGGGGAAATGTATAAATATATTTGCACAATTAGAGAAATGCCTCCCAGTCATCAGTGAATTTCTGATATCCCATGTATCGTGTATCAGCCCAAACATCAGCTTCAGTGATCCAGACTCTGCAGTGCAAACTAAAAATACTTTTAATCACCCACCTACGGACCGGTCTGTGTCATCTGCAGCCTGAACCACAGATGGAGGATTTAAGAGCGACTTAAACAAGTCTCTAAGGTGACAAGGTCGCATCAGAATTAAACATTTTGGTGCAGGTCACCGCAGTAAATCCATGGTAATGTATAAATCACATGGAATAATTATACTTTTGAAATTATTTGAGAGTCATGAGTCATTGCATCATTGGCTAAGCTTCAAATCCATTAATTTAGAGTTCATAAGAATTTACCGTGTACATTGCTGATTCTCAGGGAAGACCTACAGCAGCATTGAGTTTGTACATTTACCTTTGGGTTTTGTACTGTCGGTTATAAGAAAACTAATTGGGAGGACGTCATCTTTGACTAAAGGACATATTTCACTATTCTGACATTTTGTAGACTGTACGATAATTTGTTTATCAAGAAAATCCTTTAAAAAATCCTTTAACAGTAACAAAAATGACATCAGGTAAGAAAATAACAAATAGAATTATGTAGTTTCTTGTTTAAAGGCTTTAATTGAAAACGTTCATACTATCAAAAGTAATAAATAATTGCAAGTATCTCAAATGAGAGCAAAGATCAAATGGTGCATAATGATCATCTCAACCCTTTCTGGTTCAGAGAGGACAAAGTAAACGCCACACTCGAGAGCTGAGGATTCCATCCTTACACACCTTTGTTTTCTTCTTTCTTGTACAGCATTGTGATGCCTTCAAGTTTTATTTGTTTCTCATCTCTCAGGCACACGGAGGCATCCCACTGAAGTAATTAGAGGCACACAGCATGCAGTCTAAATGTGGTTTACAGAATCATCTCTCATTTCTCTGACTCTGTTGTGCACAAAATGTCAAACTTATGTGGAGACTGCAGGACAGACTGAGTGTTTGAGTCCAGAGGGTTTGACTTCATGTTCAGCCACTTTAGTGCCGGCATGTTGTACAACTTCTCCAAAGGAATTTCTGTAGAAAAATATGTATAAACAAAGCAAAAATCAACGCTTAAAGTATACAAATCCTTCTCTTACACATACAAGTTTTAGAATGTTCGTATTACCAGTGATGCTGTTTCCCTCCAGGTTAATCCTCTCCAGTGTGACTATCTCAGTGAGCTTATCAGGGAAGGCGGAGAAGCTGTTATTGGCCAGATTGATGCTGGTCAAATGCACCATTTCTCCCACGGTGTCAGGCAGTTTGGTGAGGACATTACCGTGCAAGTCCAGCTCTGTGAGGTATTTCAAAACACAAGTTAATCGAGGGGTCTCTGGATTTTCTGTCACGGTATGAAAACATCCTGCCAACATATGTGAGTTACACAGCATGTGAGATGAACAGCATACAAATACACAATCTTTTCTTCAATGAATCAAATAGCTGTGGTGTATTTACGATCCACTACCTCTGAGCTGAGTGAAGGTTGAGAAGAACTTGCTGGAAATGGCCTTCATCTCATTGTCAGCCAACGTGACAACGCGGATGTTATCGGACACATTCCTCAGGACCTTGAACACACCGTCTGGGAAAGAAATGAGCTTGCAGTTTGACAGATCTGCAGAGAAGAATAAAAATGTTATTATGAGATTGTGAAGCATTAACTTAGTGTTGTGAAGTTACATTTTTGCAATTACACTTGAGCTAAAAAAAAAAAAAAACTAAGTCTCTGTCACCATCCGCTGGTGAAATCTGAAACAGCATTGAGAAGAAAATGGAATCAGAGCTGTTCATTCATTCACATGCTGGGAAACTGTAGAGAGAGAGAGAGAGAGAGAGAGAGAGAGAGACAGAGAGAGAGACAGAGAGACAGAAAAGAGAAAGATGTGTGAAGAGAATCTTACCCAAGTTATCTTTCCCCTCCTCTACCGTTGCATTAATCCTCCGGGCCACGTTTGCAACTGCCTCAGCCATTTTCACAGTGGTGCCTAACAAGTGAGATGTAATATGGTGAATGAAAAATAACATTATTATTACTTTCATTAAATCATAAGAATTTCAGAGTAAAAGCCAGCAAATAATACACGCTCATGCCCTAAAGTATGAATAATAAGAAATACTACTTTTGAGGAAAGCTCATAGTTCATAAAGTATTAGAACTGGAAATATCCAAAACACAACTAAATAATAAAAATGCCACAAACTGTGATGTGTTTCCGGTTTATGGGCTGCGACCACCGATCATAAAGTCCATTATCAATGACTGATCATTGAAACTGGAACATGTCAGAAGTTCGGATGTTTAGTTTACTCACACAGAGTTTATAGTGATTAAAGTTATACTAGCTGCTGACTCACTGTAAACTGAAACCAGGGACTATTTGACTTATTTGTTTGGAAAACGACATCGACGATCGATCGATTATAAAAACAGTTGCCAATGTTATTTTTCTGGAGATCGACCACTCGACTACTCAGCTCGAGGAGCTCTACGACAAACACAATCAAATAACATGTAACTCCCTTCAAAGTCTCAGTTCGAACCCGGAAACACCAGTGTGAGCCTCGTGTGTCTCTACAGTCGTTATTAACATGTATTAGAGCCTAAAAATGGACATTACAACACAAGTAAGCTAACGAGACACACCGACAACACATGCTAGCTGCTGAAGAACCACATTATATGAATCGTAAGCATAGAGTTAACACGACCTAAGCTTCAGGTTTGCTGAGCCAGTGTCAGATTAAAACAAACTAAGCCTGGTGAGACATTATCTCATTCGTGTTTCATTAAAAAATCCACGACACGAAGCTACTCACCCACACTAGCAGCTGCTGCTACAGCTGCCTGCTATCGTTAGCTGCAGTTAGCAAACGTCAGCTAACATTAGCCACAGCAGCTCTAACTCGGTGACTGTGTATTTTTAGCCCTCGGGATGTCAAAGTTCATCTGACAAGCTCTGACCTGCACGAGGAAAGTGAAACCCTCCGTAAACTCATAGTAAAGTAACTGAGTGAGAGTCGCTGCTGCTTTGCTACGTGGGTTAGCATGAGTTAGCTCGAGGCTGCTAGCAGGAAACATGGTGAGTATCAGTGATGGAGCACCACAGACTGTACATAGAGTTGTTGTATAGAGCCAGACATTCAATAAAGTTAACACATTTAATATTATAGTAATGAGGATTGACATGTTATTTTTTCACACCTGACTTCTTATTAAAATGGGAATATTCTGACATTTAAATCAGGTGGAGTAAATCTCTTTTAAATCTCAAATACATTTTAGGGCTGCAACTATTTTTTGTTTAAGATCCGTGCAGGCTGCAACTATTTTCTATATTCCGCCATGCTAGTTTGCACAATTTTTTCTCATTAAATGTCAAAAAATATTTTAAGTCTTTGATTGAGCACATCTATGTATTTTAATGCCTTGCTTTGTGTGACACTCGGTCCAAACCCCAGTTAGATTCAGTTTACGATGGTATTTGATTAAAAATAGTTGAAGTCATCACATCTTAGAGGCTAAAACAAGAGGGTGATTGACATTTTTCATTATATTTGCTTGAAGAATAATTGCCCAATTAATCAGTTGTCTCAATAGTATAAATAAAAATAGTTAACGGTTAGTTTTTCTATCAGTTAACCAACTTTCAGCTCTTGAATCAATTTACCAACAATATAAACATTTAGTTAATTACCAAAATAATTTCTGATTAAATGTCCCTCAGTAATAATTGCAGCTCCAATATATTTTGAATAGCAATAATAATATTTTTTTATGAGGCTGAGGTGGTTGTCTTACCTTTGAGTCCTCGTCCAGTACTCCCAGTTCGACCACTGCCACGGCCGTGACTCTGGCAAATTCCTGGTGAGTCAGTGTATTTTCAAAGGATTTTACTACAATGAGCCCTGTGGCCTCAGAGGAATAGTTTAGCATTGTCACAACAAGCAGCCACTTCACAGTATTTGCTGGATATCTGGCAATGACTCACTGCAACTGATTTAAAAGGTGAAACTAGAAAAGTCCTTTTTTAATGTGTCCTTTGCATCGCACACAGTACTGCAGGTAAATGTGCCAGCAAGGCTCTAACTATGTTGTTTCATGACAACAAACCTCACAGCTCAGACTGGGTATCACAGCAGAACTCTCTTTTTTTCCAAACCTTGCTTTAATGCAACTTTTTTTGAATTTGGAATATGGTTAATGGTGCTGCTTTCATTCCCACTCTCACCTTGAACATGTATTCTTGCTCTTAATAACTTTTAAAAGCAGGTACAATCTCCTCTGAGAAGTGTTTAACTGACTGATAGTCGCAGCATACATTTTAAAAATCAGGCCCAGCTAGTTCAAGAGCAATGCCAAACTGTCAATCAGTTAAAAAGACTCAGGGACCATTAAAAAACAGTGTTAATCTCCAATATTCAGCAAGGAAACTTTGAAATATTAATGTTCTAAACAGAGTTCTCTGTATTTGTTTCGGTTCAGTGAGTGGGACTATGCAGGCAGAGCTGCAGTCAAGAGATTTACTTTTATCCTCTATTAAATGCCATCTGTGGCTGCAGAGGGCGCTGTTGCCCAGTAAAAGTTAAACAGGGTTGCTTTAGCAAATTTAAAATTTGAAATGTAGTCAGGAAATGTCTGATCCAAGAATGAGTGAGAGTCAATGCTCTTTCAAGGCAAGGCAGTGTTTGATTGGTGATTTTGATTGGTCCAAAAAAGGTTCAGATTTGATATTGATCCCTCATACTGGTTAAGTTGAATGAGGATTACTCAGGTTTTACTAATATATAACTTTACTAGACTCACATGCCAAAAAAGTAAAGTAAAATACATACTCCATGTGCAAAATGTACATAAATTACACATTTTTTAAAAACATATTTACAATAAATATACATTAATATACAGTTACACAATTGGTAGTTTACAATAAAACAGTGCTGGAATATTCATTAACGTTGCCATTTCATGTTTACATTGATCAAATTGATGTTGAGTTTTTGTTTCAGCACATGATCTCCTGACAAACCAGAGCTCACATCACAAATTAAAGTCATGCCTCTTTACAAACTTAAGATCAGCTCCAATCTCGCCGTGTACAGTGACAAATATCAAAGAGCTCCCCCCTCCCTCCCTCTGGTTAAGTGTTTTCTTTTGTTTCTCAGACACTTTTGCTGTCCTGCTGCTCAGCAACACAGGTCATGCCTGGAGGTGGTGGACGCAGCCATCACTGGCAGCCGCACTCGTCCACGATCATGTCTTCGTGGTGCCGAAGGAGCATCTCTCCGTTCTCGTAGTACAGCATGCTCAGCGGGCTCATTTTGGTCGGGGCGCAGCAGGGCGGTGCCACTCTGTCGGGGTGGTAATGTTTCAGTAAACTCTGGAAAAGGAAGAGACAAAAACGAGGATTTTGTTAGATGTGAAACGCCCAGTTTCTGGAAACAAAGATACTGAGACAATCAAATACTTCATTTTAGGTTGATTTACAACTAATCATTGCAGCATGCCCCTTTTAGACACTACATTGTTTTACACGTCCATATCTATCATTGGAATAATGAAACCAGTTCACCTTAGTTTTACACATACTGTACTTTCTCTATCATAAATAATAAAAGTCATCTCTGCATGAACACTGTATAACGCACCTGCATGTAAGCATGATTTGTTGGATTGAGGTCTTCTCCCAGTGGACCGGGGCAGGACCCTTCACAGCGGAATGCGTTGTACCTCTTAGGAAAGATGATCCAGGATCCCCAACCTATTTGATTAAAGTCCACATGCATGTCGACTTTGCGACATAGTGTTTTTTCACTCCCTCTTTTGGACACCTGCGGGCCTCTCGCTATTGGTTCTCTGTGGCCCCGTTTGGTCCTGCGCCTCTTTGGCCAGCGAGCCTTTTTGATTTCAGCGGGGGACAAGAACTTGGATTGTTCAGCTGTGTGAAGTAAACTTGCTTTGGCCTTTGAGTTTTTGCCCGAGCCAGTGCGCGAAAAGATGACCAGCAAGGCTCGGTCGCTAACGTCCTGATCTCTCCCCGGGTTCGCCACATAGACAGGCTGGTCAGGAAGCGACAGGCCTCTGTTTGACTTTACCGTCTTCTTTCTTCTTGACACCCGTTTGTGTTGAATCCTCGTCGTCGACTTCTGCCTGAGCCAGTCCAAGAGGAGACTTGTCATGTTGAACACTTTCCAGCTCTGTGATGAAGTTACCAGTGATGATTCGGCGAGCAGCCCCACCAGCTGCTGCTCTTGGCAGCCCTGGTGCATGTGGCATGCCTGGCCTTGCTGGTGATAGACCTCCACAGAGATGTTGCTAGCGCTTGGTGTCCGAGGAAGCCGGATTCTCAGCTCTGCCGCTTGGATCTGTTTGTCGGCCAGCAGGGTGTGGAGGTCGAAGGTCGCAACCCAGCGCCTGTGTCTGTACGTGAAACCTAATGAAGAGAAGAAAGATTAGTATCATTCAGGGCATTGTCTTAAATATCAAAAATATGATTCGTATTTTACATTAATAGGACAATGTGACACTGAGCTTTACAGTGAAAGCCTCCTGTGCGCTCTGTTAAATACCACACTCAAAAAGACAGTTGTTTGACTAATTTGAAAAAAGACTGAAATTGGTATCACACAAGATTGTTTAACTTAAATTTGAGAAATGAACCTTTATAACCTTAATTTATTTAAATTTGTAAACCATTTTATTTGTCTCTGTTTATTTAAGTTCTCATCTCCTTCAATGTAAGAAAACTAAAAATATGTGTTATATTGGCTGAAATTCAACCCTGGAAATGTCAGTTAAGATAAACTTAATATTTTTATAATAATGATGTTCATTATTATGCTTAATGGTATTTGCAAGTCAAATTGCTTCTTTTGTTTTGCAAAGTGAGACATATGAGTAAAGTTCTATAATCAATGCACAATATAATTGCTTTTGTTAACTTCTAATCTAGTTCCAAGATCAATGCTTGACTGATGGAGATTATCAGAGATGCACGATGTAAGTAAATCCACTGAGTAATAATCCAGCTATTGTTCCAGTGGGGGGGCAACGTGTCTGTATAATGGGGGGGTGTCATTGTGATTCAGTGAACAGGTGTGGTTCAAATTCATCTAAAGGATTAAAGCATCTTAAACATTTAATTTGCGCCTCCTCCATGAGCATTGGCCAATTTATCTTGATCAAAAGTGCAAACCACCCCTCGTTTATAAATCCACTCAAACCAAACACGGGGTCGAAACCAATCATTTAACACATCCCCGCCTGCATGTATGTCCTGACCCCGGCTTCTGCATATCCTCAGTCGGTCAGACACACAGGTAGTAACTCCCACACCTCCAGTTGTTGGCTGCTTGTGCCACCGTTAAATCCCCCCGAGCTCTAATCTAATCAAGACAAGTGTGAAGAAAGAACTGAGGGAAGTTGTTGATTTGACCCAACGAGAGATTTGTATAGGGGGATGTCTGGCGAGCTGCCTAATCAACATCACCTATTTAAGAAAAAAGAGGTTTGCTTTGAGAATTAGACAGAAAAGCGGCCTTTTCACACGCTGATCCCTGCGTGCTTATTCACCCCCCGAGAGGGATGTGGATTCAAACCCTCCGAGGTCGTCTGGCGCGCAGCTTTGACAGCACAACACTTGAGCCATAAAGGAATTTAAAAAAACTAACATTTAGAAGCCTCTCGAGTGAGCAAGGCAAGAAAACCTCCATGCACAGGCTAAATGAAGATAGCTCTTCATTATTTTGTCTCCATCCTCCTCTATCCCCCATGCGTAAATCCTTGGAGAGTGGTCTTACTTTTGGCCATCACGCTCTTCACGATGTCCGCCTGCCGCGCTGCGTCCTGCTCGGTGGTGTCCAAGGGCCCGGAGAGGTTCGCCTTGAAGTTCCTGTAGAGGTGCACCATGTAGGTGGGCAGGTGATGCCCGGTGGATCGGTCCGACACGGGGAGACGATGCAGCGGCCTCACGTAGACCCCGTCCCTGGATCTTTGGAACCCCTGGGCCAGCAGCACCAGCAGAGATGCGTGCAGCGCGACGCCCAGAGTTCCCAATGAGCGCATGTTTTAGTCCGGTTAATGACAAATTCCTCTGGCTGGTGGATTAGGGGTGTCTTATATACCCTCACCCACCCCCTCCCATGTTTAACAAGTAGCTGAGAACATTAAAGGAAATTGACATGCGTCCTCAAGACTTGTTACCTGACAGCTCATCATCCATTCACTTGGTAATGAGGCGCCAGGGTGCGTGTTTACAAGACCCGCAACTTTTTGTTTGCTGCCACGATCTTTGGTTCGCTTCTGCAGCCTGACTCCCCATCCGTGGACCAATTGTTCCAGCTATTTGGCTTACACTAATTGTTAGCCTTTCCCAATGTAGTCCACTAAACACTGAAATGGACTGCAGAGAGCTGGGCTTATTAGCCACAGACTAATGAAACAAGACATTAACATAAAATACATGTCAGGTTTACAAATGACACTTGTCCAGCTCCTCATGTGTTGTATTGTCTGCACTATATTCTCTCTTGTACACACAGGCCTTTATTACAAAGAGAAAAAATGTGTTGCACAACTTCAGAGTAGTGAGCATTTAAGGCTTCACCCTAAATGAAAGATGAATTTAAACATTTTTGTGTCTCCCGAACACTCCAGGTTACTGCTAGAATTAATATATTGCATTTGAAGAATTGTCTCAAAAATATGATGTCTGCATTTTGATTTATGATCGTTTTGCTATCACTTCTTTTCATGGGCGTTCTTTCCCTGTTGTAAAATAGGAAAATACATGATAAAAGTTAAAGTTAACATGGCAGCTTTCTTTATTGACCTTTATAAATTGTGAATCACAAAAATAAAAGTGTACTGTAAGATAAATTAAATGAAAACTTAATATTGACATCAGATTAACTATCAGGCCCAGCAGGAGAGGAAGTAAACAGGAAACTACTTTATCTCTCTTTATCAAATGTAACTTCCTGAATTTTCTTATGAAATTCATAAAGTCTTTTCATTCTTTTACAGCTTTTACAGTCGGTACTGAATTTTTGGGACCTTGCCACAGACTACTTTTTTTTTAAAGTGTTTTGAATTTGCATGCAATTATGTTTATTACATTCCTAAAATATTTTCTACATAAGCTTTATGCAGTGGGGGCACTGATGTTTGAGTATATGCGCTGAAGATCACCGTGTGTTTTAACCTGTTCTCTGCAGGTATAGAACAGCATCAACTTTACTTTTTAAACTTTGATAGAATTGGATCTTCATATTTTTAACTTGCAGGGAGCAACCCGAGGATGACCCGCATTGTGCGCATGCGCCTTGCGTCTTCATCCACATAGCGAAGACCCTTTTCCTCGTAAATCTCCGGAGAAAAGACAGAAAAAGAGGAGAAAAAATCAATGGATGTTTTCTCCTCCGGCACAAAGCGAGAGCGGAGCAGCGCGGATTCATCCCCCACAGAGGACAACCTGAGCCCAGGAAACCGCCTCTCTCCGGCTCCGGACGCTTTTTCATCCACCGTGTGCTGAAATGGTGAGTAGCTGTAAAGTTTGCGGTCGTCGCTGCACGATGCACGGCGGATTAAAAGTTCACATCCACGACGCATCGGATGCAAAGAGTCCACCGGGTTCACTGTAGCTTTATTGACATTGCGTTGTGTGAAGCAGCGGCAGAGCAGTGTGTTTAAACGTGAGGTTATTTCCATGAAGTGTTTGTGTGGCTGATGGGGCTTACATGTGCTTGGCACCCCCCCACCCAACTCTCCATGCCTGCACTTCATTGTGCTCCGCATCCACTCATTGATTTGCTCTCAGACTGTGATGGAAATAAAACCCAGTGACCTCAGGTTGGGGCTCATCGGTAGATAAACACACGCAAACAAGCACACAATCAGAACATTTCAATGTATTCTTTATTTCCCTGTAAAAACAAACATTTTTGCATGCGATGTGTTGTGGGTCCATGCAACAAACACTTCCACACATGGAAAACATTAATAACAAATCTATAATTTAGTGATCCATACATATTTCATGTACTCATGTATATCATATATATATGTCATATGTGGTTGAAAATTATGGAAACCCACTAAGAGGACCTAGAAATATGTTTTCTTATGGTCCAGATTGAACATGCATGCTCAACCTTACTGTTAAAACCAATTCTTTTCATGCTACATTAACAATTCTTATTGGCACTTATTCCTGGTTTAAGAGATAAATCATGAAGCTCATGTTCTGCAGCAATAGTTGTTTGTTTGTCCCAATTCTGGAGGATATCTAGCTCTTGCTCCTATGGCTTGAATCCACTTGTTATGATGAAGCTAACTATGAACTATAATACTTCACTGGCTCATAGGAAGAAAAAGTACATGTGCTTTTGTGATCATTCAAATGTGCTTCTAAATTTAATGTTATCAGTGCAAATGGACCCTTTCCTAGTTTTCCAGATAGTCTTAGATCAGTATTCATGACCATGTACCATGAGATGTTCGGTCTTGCCATGTTAAGTATAAAAAGTCTTATGGTGCAGTCAGACAAAGCACATGATGCCGTTTGATGTATTGTAGTCCGGCCTTTTGTTTGATTTATCCCGTCCAGCTGGGATGGGTCTCCTCTCAATATCACTTTACCCTCACCTCCATCCCGGGGGGTTGGAGACAGAAACCGGCTCGTGACAACCGAGAGCGCCGATCAAACCGTGAACATCACAATTAATCAACAGTGAGAGCACGAAACTCCTCGGTGAATGGACGCCCCGGATCATAAATGATTGAGCTGCTTATTCTCGGTTTAAGAGGGAGAGGTCAGACACTTCACACCTCCCAGACTCAACTTGAAATGTTGAGAAATCTTGGCATAGCTTTCGATTTATTATACACCATTTATACTCAGTAGGCATGTTGGTTGGTATTTGATACACTAGATAGATTTCGTGTTTCTTTGGCCAAGTTTACCCCCTAAAACCCAGAAAATGAGAAATGGTTGATTTTAAACTCTGATTGTTTTGATCCAGATTCACAGTCTGTACAGTGACGTTGTGCCAAATTGCCGCACAAACACCTGTTTGCAGTTGAAGTAGTTGTCCATCATAATATAATGAACATCTGTGTCCCTCTAAATGAAAGTCTCTTGTGCACGCCTGAGTGCACTGGATAATAATTACCACAAGGTGTCATATTTGATTGTGGTACTCAAGAGAATATTGCATCGTCCTACAATTGATCCCCTCTGGTATTTTTGATTCATTGTAAGGTTTTGTGTTTGTGAATACATTTTTAATTCACTTATGTCTTTGAAATGGGGGGAAAGAGGCAGAGATGTGTTCATACAGCCATTAAAAGATCATATTGAATCTTATTATCGTTTTTAATTACTGGTACAAGGCATTTAGGAAAGCCTTTTCAGAGTGAGACAGACCACAGGCCTGAGGAAGGATTTGGAAAAGACTGCTGATATTAGCCGTATGTAACATATTCCACTGCGAAACTCTAGCAAAGAGCATGTTTCTTTGAATCTGTCACATATCATGTTCTTCTCATTCTCTTATACTCGGACCTGTGCTCTGTCTCAAATGGAAGGAAATAAAGAATTTGTACGCATCAGAATAATTAGATGTCACATTATTTATTTTCTAGATTCCGTTACTCAGCCCTGAGAAAATCAAAATCGTGTTCATGACCGCCCACTCCCTTGATTGATTCATCCAGTTTCTGAGGTTTGCGGTGCATGGGAGGGTTTTGTTTCGCACTCGTGGTGTTGCAAGAACAAGAAGAGGCTTGGGTTGCGTTGCTGCAGGAAGGAAGGAACAGGTGTGGCAGCAGTAGATTTTTACATCCATATCTCAAAAACCACTCCACCTTTCTAAATAAGCTTGATTTGGGGTATTATCTTGTGAAAGACTGTTGATTGCACACAGCTTTGTAAGAAAATATTCTCACAGGCAGCCACAGTAAAGATACAGGTATGTGGCTGCCTTTGTAGATGATTTCAAGTATGTTTGCCAAAATTTGTGATTTGTGCGAGCTTGGGTTTGCAGCAGTATAATATTACTGGACGCTCTCCTCACTTTGTTCTCACCCTGAACAGCCCACAGGATGAAATAGGACACTGGGTGCATGGTAAGTTTCTCTGACCTCACAGCACACAGCCCCTCTGCAGCTGAACCTCAGGCTTAAATCTGAGTATTTGCCCAGCTGTAAGCCTGTTTGCCTTCAACATGGCATGTGTTAACCACTAATGAATGGAGTAATTAGAGCATCGTAGTGAATTAGGCTTACGTGATGTCATCTGTGTGCAGTTGTTAGAGATCGTCAGCCTCTTGGCACGTCTACATTACATCAGGGTTAACGGCTGAGGGCTAACTGTAATAAGTTCAGTAAAGTGCAGGTTTAATCTATGTGTCAGAGACACTTGTTTCAAAGGTCTGCCATGTGTGGGAGGCGTTGTGTTGCCAGGAGGCTCTGATAGCAATTGGACAGTTAAGTGGAGGATGAGCAAGGCGCCGTGGGTCCGCCTCCACATCCTCTCTACTCATACACATCACACTTACACACAAACACACAGACCTATGTATACACGAGCAGCCCTGCATACAAAAAAGTAAAACAAAAAAAATGAGGGAGCATGCTGTCACACATCTAAACCTCAGACAGACAGAGAGCTGTGTCAACCCCCCTCCCACCCTTGCCTTCTCCCGCTGAGTGCCTGTCTGGGATCTGTCTTGAAGGACGCGTTCATTGACTCGCGTTATTAGGGCGCGTTATGATGCGAGACCGCCGCCTGCCGTAGTGCGATCGCCGGCCAGAGAGAGGCAGATTACCTCACAGACCAGATGCCAGCAAGGATGTCCGACTGAGACCAGTGCCGTCGCCTTGCTGGAGAGCTGTCATTTTGGTTTATTTTTAACCCTCTATTCTCTCTTCTTTTTTTTTCTCCCTCATTGCGTTCCTCAGAGACTCAAGCACCTCTCGGATGGTGGACTGGACAGCTGAATGTCAGGTACAATTTTGATTCTTCTGCTTTCTCTGTTTTATGATATGCCTCCTGCTGCAGGCTTGTGGCTGTTAGAAAGGTCATCAGTATGTCTCGGAAGGATACAAAAGGAAATGGCACACGTTGCTGATGCCCGGCGTGATTTAATCTGAGACTTCAGACTGAAACGACTGAACTATGTAGCCTTTTCAAACTACAGAGTTTATCTGTATCTATTATGGGATATAAAGCCACTTTTCATTTTGCTGAGGGTTGTTCATTTGGCTTAAATATTCTGTTACAACACCAGCTATGTTTTATAGTCTCAAAGCTACATTCTTCTTGTGATGAAGTTTATCAGCTCTCATTCCTTTGTACCAAACGACCAGCGCCTGCCTGACAGGATCCCCGCGTCCCACGCCAACTCAGAAAAGGAAGCTGCTCACTCAGAATTTGTTTACACATACACCAGCTTACACATTTCAATCTGAGAGGAAACAGGTTAACAAATCAGTGTAAAATCTGCCGTAGCCGAGAGCTAAGGGAAGTATAAAAAAATTTGCTGTCAGTCGTCCCCGTGCTGCTGCTGCTGACAGAATAGTGTGGTCAGATGCTGGGGTTCAGAAAAATGAAAGCCACGTTACTGCAGCCTGGAAATCATAGGGGGATAAAATTGCCATCCTGAAACGAAATAAATTACAGGCAGTGTTTTAAAAATAGATTTGCGCACCATTTTTAGCAGCTCACTGTCCAACTGTGATGAAAGCAAGCATGTAGGAGGCTAAAGGTTATTCAAGTGATTTATGTCATGTTTCTCTCATTCATGGCGTCCCTGTGAGTTGTTATTCATTTTGTGCACTTTATCTGGACTATCTGTGTTTCAGTGCAGAACCTATTCCGGGGTAGTTTGATCAGATTTGGAAATTGCATCCTTGAACAATGCACCGCATGGCTTCCTTTTTCGCCACAGTCTCTTTCTGAACATGCTGTTGGGTGATTTATTTTAAACCAAAACAAACATCGGAGCTGTTCGTTTACACAAACTCACAATAAGGTTTTTTGGAACAGTTGAAGGAAAGCAGAAAAAGATTTTAAGCGGAGGAGGCGCTGAGCTGATTTCCGCACAATGCTGATATTTAGCTCAGGAACTAGCAGTGTCCTGTGGAATCACGCCTGTATGCAACCCTGAACCTCATTGGTGAAATATGTGTACAGCTGCAGGGAGGAAGTTACAGAGCGTACTACTAAGCATTTCCTGTCAAGGTGTGCTTATACTTCCTCTGCCTGGGGGTGTGTGACCGGGTTGCATTGAAGGGTTTTGCTGGTCTAGTATCCTGTGATGAGTGAGAAACTGTGGGTCATTGTATCAAGACCGAAAAAATCTGGATCCTTATTTGGAATAAATTGTGTTTGAGAAATCCTGAGCAGTCTTTGCATTCTTGCATGTTTTGTTGTCAGATTTCTAAAGCTGCACACACTCAATGTTTTAATAAGTCAGCATATTCACATCAGTCATTTTATGTGGTTTTGTGCGGTCAGTGGGCTTTCAGGTTTAACATTGCCCGACTGAACGAGTGTCCTCTGTGAAGACCAAATTGCCCCTGGATCCTTGAATGATAAGTGCAGTTTTGCCAGGGAAGCAAGTTGAATTCATTTTGAAATGTTTTTCTAGTTCGTGTGAAAAGATCTTCTCAGCGCTACAATGTGATACCCACCTCTCTTGAACCCCTGCATCTCTTGTGAATGAAGAGCGCCCTGCATCCTTCCTCTGGGCCACCAACAGATGCATCCTGCAGCTGCATGCTTCTTCCTGTCTGCACTCGGGCCCTTTTGTCTGAAGACGCTCCTACTGCAAAGTTGGGACACTGGCTGAATTTAAATAGGGCAGCACTGAATAGAGCAATGCTGGTAGGCTGGCAGGAGACTCCAGTTTCCATGGGTTTTTTTTTTTGTCCAACCATTCCATCCTTGAATTTAAATATTAGGGCCACTGGCTAACTTTGACCAGCTGTTCACAGCCTGGCTGACAGTGGCACAGACAAGATTTCAGCATTGTTGTTTCATGTTGTCGCAAGTTTGTCTTGTCGTTTTATTGGCCCCTCGCGCAGCGTGACCCTACTCTGGGTTACACAAGGGATAAACAGCCTCTCTAATGAGATGTCATGATTGGCTCTGCAGGAGGATGTTTATGACTGAGGGCTATTTCTACTCAGGCCTCCGCCCCAGATGCCCGTGCGCTAGACCAGGCCTGCCCATGCTGAACGCCGTGTGGCCCATCAGCTGAGCTTGCTTTGTAGCAGGTACTTCTTAGTGTATCATGGTCTCAAAGCTGATGTGACAGGCCGTAAACACAGTAGAGTTTCTAATGTATCCCTTTCAGTGAGCAAGCTACTGTATTATGACCTCGGTAAAACTGAAGTTTCTGTCAAGAAGTATCAGTTAGCCTCATTTAACGCTCAGACGTTTCATAGAAGAAGTACTTTACATTGGAGAAGGCATAGGAAGTTTTAGCATGTGGACGAGTGGGAGAATCTGTCTCCAGAGTGTTTTATAACCTTCAACTGAACCACATAGGAACATGCATATTATCATGCATGACTGTGGTGGTGGGTGAAGGAAACCTACTGATTAAATCTCCTTAAAGTGACAGAGAATGAACATAGTTCACTGTGTAAATGTCTTTTACTGTAGAGACTGTAAGCTCAGTTTTCAGTCCAAATAGGAAGTCAGAGACACAGTCCACATCTAATATCTTTTTTAAATATTGCGATGCTTTGTTTCAATTTTTTTATGCAATGAAACCACCTTTTTTCTTTTTAGTTTAGTCCATGTTGCAAACATGGAGGAGGTGGAATTTATGACCTATACTGAGACCAGCCATCGACATGCTTTGGCCTCACTTTTGGGGAGCAGCCATATCGTCTATATCTTTATTTCGTCTCTATGTTTTGAACTGGAACATTATTCATTTGAGCACCCTCTGCTGGACCGCAAGGCAACTTCTTTAAATGCTTTGATGTAGTTCTAGATTTCAATCAGGTCAATACAGTTCAAATACTTAAAATTGTCCAACATTCAAACAGCAGTTCAAATTTCACATAAAAAAACAGTGACATCCTGACCGTACAGTATTAGAGTCAACTGTGTGGTCTTTGTGCACAGCCTGTCCCTGTGAAAGAGAGCTGAACATTTGCCATCTGGCTGCCAGATGTACCACTGCTTCCCCAGGTCCCCTCAGCGGAGACTCGAGTCTGCCGCATGAATTGACTCCCCAACATCAGACAGGAGATAAGACCCGGGACGTGGAGGACGTTCCCTGAGAGCTCTCGGAAGAAGTTTTTGCCCAACTGTGCCAAGCAGCCGAGCGCTTTGAGCTCCCATGAGGGGTGTTTCCCACTGAGCGGGGGTGGGCACGGGGAATCAGAAAGGGAAGATTTCTCTTTGGATTGGATGCCAAGTTCTCACACTCCTTCTGGACCATGGCGGAAAACAAGCAGCAGAGAAAAGGGTCTGCGAGCACAGATCGCTCCTCATCGCACACGTAAGATGTCAGAGTTTAGTGGATTGTTGCTGGCGTGTAGGTTTTTGTTGTTTTTCTCGTGGTAGTCAAAGAAATGATGGCAGCGGAGATGCTTTTGGTATGTGGTGATGACTCAAATAGGTCAGGGCGGCTGGGGCACAGTATTCTTGAAAACTTAGTTTCCTTTTATGGAAGTTACATTTTATTACTGGGTAGAGTCTGAACTTCTTTTTACTCTCTGGGCTGTTTTCTCTGCATTTATGTGATCGTGTTTCAAGCTGTAAAAACATGTGAGATGTTTTTTGAAACATTTTTTAAATCTGTGTCAGCAGACAGATTAACAAGAAAATGAATATCTTGTCGACTGACCCTTGATAAGAGAATCAATACAAGGTCGACCTGCCCACTCATCGCCAGGCGCAACAAAGACGAGAGTAGTGGTGACTCACCCGGCTCCTCTCTCTCTCTCTCTCAGAGGCTCTCTGCTCAATCACAGTCCTTTCGGTTCAAAGCTGCAGATCACACAGAGCTGCTGTGAGCTCAGACGTGTCGCTCTGCCGTGTCACATGAAGTAGATATTGATGTTGGATTGATTCTGTGCTCTTGGACAACACTTTGCAGCTTCAGTGTGACAGTATGTGCATCTGTGATTTTGTGTAGGGTGACGTACTGTGCTTTTTGTATCTTTACGTGACGCTGTAGGTTCCTGATCAGCCGCATGTTGTGACTGATGTCGAGGAGCAGTGTTGTTCCTGAGCTTGTCGGAAGACTGGTTTGTTTATCTGCAGAGCTCCCTGCGAGGCTGTCTGTTTATTCAAAGGGGAAGAGGGTTGCTTGAGACATGCGGCTGGCTCGCGTGGGGGTCTGAGTGCTCTGTATCAAGTTGTATGATTTGAATATAAATACTGTCTCACAATCTGACTCAAAAATACTCTTTTTGATATTTATTTCCAGTATATGATTAAAATTTATGACATGGGTCTTTTCATTTCTGTGATTAGTTTTAATAAATAAGAGATAAAAGCAGAGAGAACAGAAATTACCAGCTTTTTGATGATGTTGAGTATGTTCAACATCTTAGTATGTTGGCCATAAACGCTAGATACAGCTGAGGCTGATGGGAATGTCATTGTTGTTGGAAGTAGTTGACCTTTACCCAAAGTGTTAAACCATTTTCAGATATCTCCAAGATTTATTGCGAAGAACGTAGCAGGAGATTGTCAGACACGTTCACAGCAACAGAGAATCTCTGGAGCGTTCAGGCAAGGGGTGGTGTCTGGGTAGAGCCAAGACATTTGTGTTTTCTGCAGCCTGCAGCCCGTCTGGATAATTTCTGGAGATTATGCAGAGTTCAATGCATGTCTGAAAACAGCTTTTTACATGATACAAATTTTGACCTTATGATGGTTTAACATAAAGGGTCAGAGGATTAAAATGTATCCTCTAGGGACCATGAATGAGTCTGGGAAATCAACAGGGTAGTTTTTCAATTAAAACCAAGGAAACCCAGGAATAGTCAGTATCAATCATCACATTTCACCATCTAGTTTCAGTTTATTCCCTTCAGAATTTCATTTCATGCATTTCTTCAAATCCCTGCTGAGATATTTCAGTTGTAACCAAAAGTCTGACATCAGTGAAGAAGTGTGGTTCACTTTGTTGTGTTGTCCCTCCTCAAATATTCTGTATGTATTGCCGCTGTGTGCCGGCCTTTATGTAGGTGTGTGAGTGTATTTGCTTCCTGTTTCTGAGTCTGCTGCGATGTCATTCGCAGCTGCTTGTGGAGCATGGGTACAACTGCCAGTGCCGCACAGCAGCCAATTTCCGCAGCGTCGCCACTGGAGAGTGTCCACGGCAACGGGATGGCCAACAGCAGGCAGTCTCTTAACATGAGCCCCTTTCAGACAGTCAACATCCACAACAACAAGGCCAAGTCCATTATCACCAACAAAGTCGCACCTGTCGTCATCACGTAAGTCCCTCCCCGAATCCACGTTCTCACAATTGGGTGTTAATCTTCTTTGATCACTGCGGTGACATCCCCCCACCCTGCGCTCCGAGTGTTTGCCCCTGTTATCATCTCATTTGTCAATCCAGGCCGGGCAAATAGTGGCTGATAATTGAATTGACCTCTTTTCACCTCCCAGACCTGCTGTGCTGTTCTCTTTACAGGTATAATTGCAGACAGGAATTCCAGATTCACGATGAAATCCTCAAGACCAACTACAAACTCGGCCGGATATCAGAAACTATGCCCGAGCACTACCTGGTGCAGGTAGGAACAACACTCTGAGAAGAGCACTGTCATGAAAAGACGTGGAATCATCTCACCGGTCTCTATTTCTGCCCCTTTTCACATTCCCATGTCGAAATTGCACAACGGTGCAGGAACATTGTCATGCGTTGTTTTATGATGTGGCGCAGCCGCCAAAACAGGACTCGTTGTCACCCTCCTATCAGGGCTTTGAAGTGCTCTGTCACCTCGTCTGCCGTGGCCGGTCCAGCAGGCAGTGTTTCATCAGTGTTAACACACAGCTTCTGTTTACATGCATGGACAGGGCAGTTGTTCCACCTATAGTTAGGCTGCATTCACGCCACACATTTTAGTTTTAACTGTAGAACTGTTGCTGTGTTTACGCCTGCAGTCTACGCTCAAAAGCAGCTTGACCAGAGACATTTAGAAACGCTGCTGACTCCGCTTTAGTTTGAAAACACCACATCTGTGTTGTAGTGGGCAAAACTGGGATGTTTTTTCGAAAACGATGACGCTGTAATCACTCGTCTTATTTTTCACCATTGTGTTTCTCCTTCATATTTTCTGTAACTAAGCAACCAGTTGCAGATTAAACAGTCTTCCTCCTGATCACGTGATACGTGTGGGAGCATGGCCAGAGATTATTACTGATCCAGAGCTAAAGCCCTTGTATGGATGGAGATTGTTTTAGTTTTAAAAACGTTGAAATGCAAACACGGATGGAAGTTTATATCCACATAAAAGCAGATGAATTTGAAGACACATCTCTTCCCTTCTGTTTTGGCCTTCCACCCTCCCCCTCCTGATTGACCTTCCTGTTAATTTATTTATGTACCACTGATATTTTTGTGGTTCAAACACAAAAGGTTGAATGTGCTTATTGAATTGGAACTTAAGAATTCAAAGTGGGTTTTTTTTTTTTACCAACATGGAGCCAGTTGTTGGAACCATTACCTTGTTTTCAGTGAGCTGTGTATATGATTATCTAGTTATATTAATGTTAACCTCTTATTAAGCGCAATCAAGCCTTTACTACTGCAATAGAAATTGTAAAATATGACAATGTTTTAAATCTGCTCTACTGACACACAATTCGACTGATCCTGTGCAGATGGAGGTGACAGAACAGAGATTAAATCTGTTGAGTCAATAGAGTAACCAGACTGTATCAGCGTTGTTGTTTGTCGACAGAAAGAGGACAAAGAAGAGATTTAGACTTTTTGCATTTGAGTGTGGGAAATAAAATAAAAAAAAAAAAAGATAGAAGAAATTATATAAATTCAGCTAAAAAACTTAAAATTCAATCCAAATGCAATTAATTTTCACATTCTATCCATCCACCATATTTTCTCTGGAGAGTTTGCGGGTGCTAATGAATGCTCGAGTGGAGTTTGGTTTGTTTGTGACTGAGTCATGCTCTGAAAATGAATTCAGGGACTTTGCTTTCCAGGGGGAGTTCTTCATGGTGCAGGACGTGTACAGCAAGGCAGATGTCCTGAACACCACAGGAAGCTATGGGGCGCCCAACTTCCGCCAAGTCAAGGGATCCTACCCTCTGTACGGGATGGGTCAGCCGAGCCTGAACGGCTTCAAACAGGTCCTCCAGAGGCTCCAGGTGCAAGGACACGAGGTCACTGTGATTTTCTTTTTATGCACATAAGTAACCCAGAATGTTAGACAACTACACTAAAGCTGACATGAATGGTCGATAGGTTATCTGGTAGATTGTGTTTTTTGACTGAGTTGCTCTGCCTGGGCTCTCTCTAGCCGTGTTGTCAGTAAATATTTGAGGAGTCAAGTGCTCAGTGGAGGCTGCGGCTGAATTGTAGAACTGAGCAAACAGAAAGTTGTGGTCATGTGTGCCAGTGGAAAAATAATCTCACGTCTTTGCTTACAGCAGCGAGAAACTGACCGTAATTGAAATGAAATTGACAAAATTATACGTCAGGCCTCTTGAAAGCTCCTTACTCATGTGCTGCATGTCATATGACAAAAGATTGTTTCCAGTCGCTCTTGGAAGCGGTGCGGTCGGACGAAGGCTGCAAGCGTTTGCTATTAAACCTATCATTTGATGCCTATCACGCTGTGCTTTTGCAAACAGGAGGTCATATTCTTCTGCGTACGAGAGGAGCCGGTGGTTTTCCTGCACAAGGATGACGACTTTGTGCCGTACACCCCCAGGAGGAAGGAAAACCTACATGAGAACTTACACAGCCTGGAAAAGGAGGTGCTGGTGGAGAGCCTGGAGCTCATCGTCAGGAAGGAGGTGACGAAAGTGCACTTACTCACCATCTGCACGTGTTTTTGTTTGGTACCACCCAGTTGAATGGAGCTTCCCACTTCCTCCTCAGCTCCACGACTTCGCCATGCTCAACGAAAACATCTTCTACGTCTACAATGACATAGAGTTCTTTAAAGACGAGCCACAGAAGATCTCCATCATGTGTGAGGAGGACATCCATGTGACAGAGGAGGTCTATAAGAGGCCCATGTTCACCATGCCGGCCTACAGGTTATTTACATTGCTCCTTTTATTACCTCCTCGCCTCTCACGTCAGCTCAGAATCATGGCTGAATGCAGCAGAATATACAGGACAGGTTATAAATAGTGACGCGTGTTTGTGCAAACGCTGGTTGCCCTGCTTTGTAAAAAGGTTTTCAAAAACTAAAGATGGCAGCATCCTGTTTGCAATCAGATCAGCAGTGGGCTTTATTGAGACGTCTCAGGCTGCTCCCGATGTTTCCAGAGGAAGAGGATAAATTATTCCATGAGGAGACTGAAGCCTCATCACTGACACTTTTGAAGTTTTACAGCAGAAACAAAAGCAACAGGATGTTTTATTATAGTATGAAAAGTGTAGGTGGTGTGTATTTTAAAGGAACATATGTCAGGATTTGACTCTTCCCATCATCCCTGTGGGTCGCTATCTTAGACTTATGAAATTAGTAAACAAAGTGTGAGGGAGCTCAGCTGTCCAGTCTTATTTTAGGTCAAATGTTTACTTGCTGTGCATCTTGACCTACATTAAGGACGATTTTGATACAACACAGTCGTAGGCTCACCCTCGGCAATGATCTGTTGTCTTGCAGGTACTACAGATTACCTTTACCGATGGAGGGAGCGCCGTTGGAAGAAGACTTCGACGCATTTGTTAACATTCTCAGGGTAAGGTTGTGTAAAAATGGCAATCACTGTGCAGCTCCGCCCATTAAATGAACCTTTTTTGGTCATGCTGTTCTCGATGTGTTGTTAAAGTTATTAATGGCTGGAATATGGCCAAGGGGTGCATCTGGATTTTCTCACTGAAGCAGGGAGAAGATCATAGAATTTTCTTTTTCTTTTAATGCATGTAGCCTCGATTCCATTCTGCCAGTGCTATCAATCTGATAAGTGTGATAGTTATTTGAAATAAAAATGGCAGAGAACCTGCAGCTTGTGATCAACCTTACGTCCGCTCCTGGTCATCCGCTCTGTCTGGTTTCCGTCCTGCCCTTCACTCATACAGGATGTTCTTTTCACTGTGTTTTGCCCTTTTTTGGAGTGACTTGCAGCAGCCGGTCCAGTTCCCTGTGGTTGGAAAGTGGCTCTCGTTTTTCTTTTTTTTTTAGAACAGTGTTTGGATCAGGGCTTTTGCTAAGGCCTAAGATACCCTTTCTCTCCCTCTTGCACTCTTTCTTTCTATATGTCCCACGTGACATTTTTCTCCTTATTGAAAGAGCCCTCACTTCCCAATTCTCTTAGTCAAACTAACTTTAAAAATCTGTTTTCTCATCTCATATTTCCAAAATTATAAACCCTATGACCCACTAAAACTGATTTCTGTAAAGCAAGTAACGCCCCTTGTCCAAAAACTTAAATAACCCACCAACAGCCGCTAACATCTGGCTTTTGTCTTCAATTGGAATGGATACAATCATCATTCATGCGTAGGTCAGATGACTGCAGTAGACACTGGTTTCTATAGACTCAGAGCATCTAACATGATGCACCAGGAAAAAAAAAACAGAAAGTCAAACTCCTCTACTGGCAATGGTAAAGCAGGCAATCAACTTTTTTTTGCGGGTATTCCAGCACGACTGACACTCTCCTCTACATGTGCTCCTGTTTTCCAGGAGAGTCCGAGCTTGTCCCTGGGCCACGATGCGTCCCGACCGCTGCCGTCGCTGCTCTTCAGCTGCCAGGTGGGCGTCGGCCGCACCAACCTTGCCATGATCCTGGGTACCCTGGTCATGAATCGCCTGAGGGGGGATTCACAAGCGCCGTCTCAGTAAGAACTCTGCGTCTAACGCATCTGGAAAACAGGGAGAATGACCTCATCACATATTGAATAAAAGTCTGGTGGTGGAGCTTTGAAACTGGTTTCTTTGTGCGTTCATGCTTTTTTCTTCGGGATGTCAGGTAACATTGGAGTTGAGCATGTTTTCTTTGTTTTGCAGAGTTGAGGAGACAGCAGCTTCAGAGCCGAAACCACTTTTCCAGGTCATCCAGTCTCTGATCAACAAGCTGCCGAATGGACAGCAGGTCATGGAAGAGGTGAGGCAGATTACTTACACCATCATAACATCTCCTTTAAGACAAATATGTTACTACTTGCAAGATCAAGCAAGTATTTGTAAAGTGCCTTTTATTAAATAAACCAAGTTCTTACAGAGTCAAATTAGTTTTACATTTCTCTTAATGAATGATAACATCTTGTTTTCATCTGACAGGTTGACCAGGCTATCGTCCTCTGTTCAGAAATGCACAACATAAAAGAAGCAATATATGAGAACAAGAGTAAGCTGGAAGGGATCGGAGAAGATTATCAAATACAGGTTAGTGTGATGATGATGATGCCGCAGCATCTTGTATTAAAACAAAGTATAATGATTCAATGTGGGCTCTCAATCTGATGGAACACTTAAGTACCAGAGTTTAATTTTTGACAGAACGTTCTACCGCCTGTCAGGAAATCAATAGTTGAGCTGCTTCACTGGAGAAATAAAGAAAAACGTTGGGTTATTACTGTGGCTGGACACTGAAACTTGTATTCGTTTCTTAGGGAAGCAGCACCAAAGAATACTTTCTCAACCGAACAATGCAGAGCTTGGAGCGCTACTTCTACTTGATTGTATTTAACGCGTACCTTCATGAACAGGTAAAGTGAATTTCTTCACTGATACAGATGAATATTCAGAGATTAGAAGGCATGACATAAACGTTGTATTTGTGCTGTTGCATTTTGCAGTATCCTCTTGCCTTTGTGTCCAACTTCAGCCAGTGGATGTGCTGCCATGCGTGGCTGTACAGACTGCTGGCCCGCATGGACCTGTCGGAGCTGTCGGCACCAGCTGAGCTGGTCACCAGGGGAGCCCGCGTCCTGGTGAGGAAGAATGATTCTGTAAATGATGTCTGTGTCTGTCATTTGAAACCAAAACCATGTTATGCAGGTACACGGATGCATTTAATATATGTATAGAAATGCTACTGCTGATGTGTTTTTTTGTCTTACCGATAAAGCTTGCCACACAATGTGCACGTTTTCTCTAAGATGTCTCATCATCATATCCTCACACAGTCACGTAATCCTCTATATCATCAGTGTCTCATACGTTGTGTGTGATATGCGTGTGCACAGGTTGCCGATGAGTACTTGGCTCCTGACGTGCTCAGCACAGTGAAGGAGATGAAGGCGGTCAACTTCAGACGAGTGCCCAAGATGCCTGTTTATGGAGTCGCTCAGCCGACATCAGAGGTGCGGCGGATTCCCGAAGACTTTCCTCGCATTAATACAAAATACAAAATGTTCCCTTAATCACATGAATCCCAAACATAATCTTGAATGATTAAAGGGCAGACTTATATTTTGAGAGGTTGTACTAAGAAAGAGAACAAATATTAAATAATTAGTAAAAGAATTTTGCACTTTTCCATCCTCGCAGAAAATTGTAACTGTCATTTTGTGATCATCACCAGAATATGCTTGCATCCCTGCTTTCGTTAATATTTGTGACAGTACAAAAACACTTGCACGCAAACTTCAGGCTGCTTGTGCAGGACTTCCACTTCCTCCTCGTCTAATTGTAAACTTGCTGTGCGCAGGCTACCGGAGCAGTTTTGGCCCATCTGACGGATGAGAAGAGGAAGCACAGCCACGTGTTGTGGGTGAACCTGCAGGAGGAGCTGGTGTTGGAAGGAAACGGTCAGATTTTCACACCCAGGGAGCCCTCGTGCCTGGACCAGCACATTCCCCTCCCATCATCTGACCCACAGCTAATAGAGGTAGAGTGGAAATGACTCTCTTTAGATGTTTTCAGGGCGCGTACAATCAGATTAATGATAGAGTGCTTGGGAAGGTCACTAGTTTTCACAGTACATTTGCTCGAGCTTCAAACAGCTGATGTAAGAGTGCTCTTGTCCCCTCCTGGCCTGTAGAAGCTGGAGACGTCTCTGAAGGAGGCTGTCCTGCGAGCTCAGAAGTGGCTGGAAGTGACGCTGGAGCAGGACAAACAAATGAAGATGTTTAAAAGCTGCCTGACGGTGCAGGAGATCTTCAACCAGCACAAGAGCTCCCACCAGGGCCTCGTCTATAAACGCATCCCTCTGCCGGACTGCAGCGCCCCCAGGGAGGAGGTAATGACGTGAGCGTGTGCATTAACACGCTTATACTCACAAACATACAAGCATGATGTGCCGAAGTAGCATCTCAGTTCCCTGGTACCTGCGCATGAGGCAGAGACATTAAATAAACCTTGTGCTCCCTCTGGTGGTTAAGACTGATACTTTCATTCTAAAAGTTTCACTACACAGTCATAAACAAATCTAATATTTTAAAAAACTTTTTCTCACCCACCCCAGTTGTATTTTATATTTTTGTTATTATCATTCATTAGATTAGATTTCTTTTGGCATCTTTTTACTTACTCAATGGTAAAAAATGTAAAATTAGATGCAGTGAAATCAATCTAATGTTGTATTTTAACTTTATGCAGCAAGAACATGATTAAACACATTGACATGTTATATCACTGGTTGATTTCCTTATGATTCACACACATACGTAGATCGATAGACGTGTTGTTGTGTGTGTTCTTCTCAGGATTTCGATAAGCTGCTGGATGCCATGAAGAGTGCCTTGGCTGAAGACTCCCACTCAGCCTTCGTTTTTAACTGCTCCAACGGCAAAGGCAGGACCACGACCGCCATGGTCCTCTCTGTTCTGACTCTCTGGCATTTTAATGTAAGATGCTTCCTTCTGCATGTCCATTAAACTCATTGTATTTTGATGCAGTTTCACCTGAAATCTCAACGAGGATTCAATGTTTTTTTTTCATCCAGAATAACATTAAAACTTGCGTCTCTCTCTTGCAGGGTTTCCCAGAGTTTGCAGAAGACGAGATTGTTAGTGTTCCGGATGCCAAGTACACAAAAGGAGAATTTGAGGTATTTATCCTTGAAGCATTCAAACCCTTGCCCTCTCCAGCTTGTAAAGATTGTCTTTTTACAAACAGCATTTCAAATGGAATATAATCATAGCTCTTTTTATGAACCCAAATTCAAAAGAAATGCAATTTACCACCGCTGCTGCTGCTGCTAACTGCAAAAGTGTCTAGAGCTCCAATAAAAAGTTTCCAAATTAATCAAACAGTCAAAAGGAATGAATCTGCAATTATTTAAGTTATTGAATCATTGTAGTTTGTATTAGTCACTTTTAAGCAAAAAATACCAAATGTGATACTTAACTGAAAAAAATGTCTCATAGCGTAACAACCTGGATTTCTGTCTGTCTGCCTGTAGTTTTAATTGGTTGACTCCTCTGCTGTTGAGTATTTATTGCTCGTGTGAGAGGTCACTTGACAACAAAAACAGCTCACACTGATTATGAAGCTCGAGCGTCACCAGGTGCCACATATTTATGTCTGTGTCCCGCTGTAAAGCGTAAAACCAAACACAACCAGAAACCACAGCTTTTTCTCCTCTGCTCTGAATAGCTGCTGTGAATTCACGCCGCTGGGTGTTTTCTTTTTCTTGATTCAGAATTGTGACAATGAAACATTGGTTGGACTCTGATGGCTGTGTCCTCAGCACTGTAAACACGTACATCACAGAAAGAGGCAAACAATACCACATGCCACTCACAGCTGCGCAGCCAACCCAGTTTCTGGGATACAAAGAGTGGTCGCCACGGAAACCTTGTGCGGCTCCAGTTTAGCCTCTCAAGGAAGTGTTTTGTTGCTGTTCCCGCAGCCTTATCTGTAAAAAAAAGGAAAAAAAGGTGCCACAGCCTCCCTCCGTGCCACGGCCATGTTACATAATCCTCCCTCCCAGTGTGACAGACGTAGGAAGTGCACCTAAATAATTCTCCTACAGGAAATATATGGATAGAGCATATGGGCATGACATACAGTAAACTGTCATCAGGGGGTCAAACTAATTTATGTTTTCATAAAAACAATATCACTAGTGAGGATGCTGCAGAAAATGATCCCTCAAATTGATGCAAAAAAAGCCTTATGGAGTAGCTACATTACAGTACTTTTTCTTTTAATACTTTTAGGTATTTGAGTATATTTTTGTACTGAAATGTCCTAGTACCTACTCCATCCCTGCTGTATTGTGAGAAGTGGGCAAAACTCCATCGGCTGAGTGAGACTGTGTGATGTGAAAACAGAACAGCTGCTAAATGAACCCGAGAGAGAAAAAGAAGCTTCAGTAATTTTATGTCCTCATGTTTTAATGTGCATTTTGAATGTCTATGCCATTCATTTGCAAACGTTTGTACATTTGTACAAATTATAATGTTGCTGCACCTGCCTCTACATCTGCTCAATTAAAATAGGATTCATCCATTTTACGTGAGAGGCTGATTTCCTTGTGCTCGAATTCTCCTGTCGAAACTTTGGAAACTTTTGGCCTGAAACAGTGTCTTGTTTTTCTCTGCCCTTCAGGTCGTGATGCAGCTGGTTCGCCTGCTCCCTGATGGTCACAGGATGAAGAGGGAGGTGGACACGGCCCTGGACTCTGTCAGCGAGACCATGACCCCCATGCACTACCACCTGAGAGAGATCATCATCTGCACATACAGACAGGTATGTCCCTGTGTCCCTGTGCTCCTCATTATCTGTCTGTAAGGTAGAGGGAAACAAGGAAAACCAAAAAGGAAGGATGTACGGTAGTTGCAGTCAGAATTTTAGGGGCTGCTGAAGAATTTAATTTACTTATAAAATAGAAACTCACAGTCCAGATGGATATTCTGTATTTGTTTTGATTAAATATTAACTGTTGTGTTCAAAAGCGAAAAATCCTCACACATCTCTCTGAATAATTAATTTTTTCTCAAGGTTAAATCAAATATCAAATCACAAAAGTAACAAACAATTGCTGCTTTCTTATGAATCGTTCGACTTCATTTCTGGAACAAAACCAGTGCGTTATCGTGGTCTCAGGTGCAGTTCCTCATGGATCCCATAGATGGCGTCAAAACGTTTGTTGATGTCTTCTCCAGCCACAGTGGACCCTGAGTGAGCGGGGCCCTTTGCTGTGTAGGCAGGAGCTGCAGTGTGTGGAAAAACGCTTGTGGTGCAACATGCGTTATCTCTAGAACTCAATGAAATTCCTTTGGGTTTAAATGGAAAAGAGTGAAAGGGAGAAAAAAAGGGGGGGAGGGGGAGCAGAAAAAAAGATGTGATTACTTGTGGGATTTCATGGCTCTGCTAAAGTTTTATTATTTTGTGCTTGTTTGCGGTCCAAGTATTGGAAAGCATTTCATATCAGTGGCAGCTGTTTTGTTTGTTACATGGATTGAGAGCGTCTGTTCATTTCAAGTGCAGTCATTAAATCTGCCGTAAGGAGGAAACGCAGGCATGGAGAGACGAGGCATTCTTGAAAAAGGGATGAAAAGCAGCTACACCTTCATCTTTGAAAGCTGTTCCTGGCAGTTAAAGCTAAAGAGAACAAAAGAAGTTGGTGTTGGTGTTTCCGTATCTGGACAAGGTCTCTCCTGATGCCGTGGCCTCTGCTGGACCACGGCTCTGTTTTAGCCATTTGTAATGCAGACTGTAATCATTGTGCCTCTGTGCACCGTCAGCCGTTCTCAGCGTGCTGGAGGCACCCGGTCCTGTCTCCACCGTATCAATGGGCCTCATTGTCCCACCAACTCTGTCTTTCCCCTATACGCTCCCTCCGTCTGTCACTTTCTGGTGCCAGGCTCGGGGGGAAAAGACTCGCCATCAGATCCCGCTCATGTTGTTTTTTAAAATAATTGGATTTCCAGTTTTATGCATATACCTATATTTTACACATATTCATGTTTAAATATGGGGAGGTGACATGAGGTGAAACAGACCTCACCCCATCCCAGAGTTGAAGAAGATGGTTTTATTTCCAACTTTGTTCTTTTCAGGTCCGCCAAGGAGGTTACGTTTTCATCTGCGTTTTTTTGTTGGTTTGTCTTTTATTTTGCAGCATTACACAAAAACTACTGGATGGATTTCCACAGAACTTGGTGGAAGGATGTGTTAGGGGTCAGAGAAAAACTTGAGAGAAGATTGCAAGAAAAAAATTAGGTGAACGATAACATTATTACCCAAACTTTCTGTCTTAAACATCCAAGTTTCCAAGTTAAGACAAACCGATCGTATCACGTTCTCATAACCAGTAGACTGGTTCTGGCCAAATCTCCAGAGAACAGGACCCGGATTGTAATAAACCGCAATGATCTGTTAGCCCAGCCATAGCAGACCTCAGGTTGGTACTGAGTTCCCCCCTCAGCCTTTTCCCCTCCTGCCTGAACCAGCAGGCCAGGTGATAAACAGTGCCAGATGTTGTTGGAGCCCGGCAGGCAGCAGCGGACGAGAGGTGGGAGAAAAGTGGGGTTAGAAGAGGGGGAAAAAATTTCACCCCCACTCTCTCTCTCTTCCTCTCTCTCTCTTCTCGTAGCCATCCCTCGTCTTCCGCAGATCCCTCCTCCTCGACAGTGGTTGGAAAATGTGTCTTTGATAGAGGAAAAAAATATATTTACTCTGGGACCCTAACCGTCCACCAGCTCTCAGAGGGGCCTGGGAAGGGAGGAAGGTGGGGGTTTTGTAGGGGTGGCAGGGGAGGGGGTTCTTCTTCTTCTTGAAGGGCCTGTAAATCCCTGCTGCCGACCAGGCGTGACCCCGCGTTGCATATGCATCTTCCGACATCGGGGCCAGGGTGGTGGAGAGCCTTCTTCCTCTCCACCTCCTCCTCTGCACATAGCTGCGGGGGCCTTTCTTTCCATCTGTGTGAGGTAGAAAGTCGCCACAGGCAATCTGTGCACACTGGCATTTACTGTGATAGTGTCCTTTGTGTGGTTACATGCACGTTGGATTTAGCTGCTGAATCTAAATCCCTCTGATTATTTCCCTTTTTATCCTCCACTTAGATCGCTCTTCTCATTATATCCAATATCCACAAGAAATAATTTCTCTTTGCCTGTTCAGTATATGTCACTTTGCTCGAGCCTGCTGAGTGTTAACTTGCAGACCACCAGGCTGAAGACTGCATAGCCTTGTCTGATTATCCCGTGCAGGCTGCTTACCCAGAGACGTCTCACCGTCAAAATGTGATTTTTGAAAATCACTGGCTTCCATCCAGTCCATCAGGACGGGGTTAAAGCAAAGAGAGCAGAGGTGAAGAAATCAAATCTCCTCCTGTTGGGCGAGAGTTAGTGGGATTTATTTATTTTTTTGTCCTTCGTTTAATTTATACTTTTCTTCACCCAGGCGATGAGAGAACTGAAATGCATGCGGTGAGAGCGAATGATCACGCTGTGTTTGTGCGTGCGTCCAAAGAAAGGCCCTCATGGTTTGGACGGGGAAGTGGAAAAATATTTTTAGAAAGGGGAGAATGCTGTGAGCAGGTTTTCTTGAGGAAAAGGTAGTAGAGGTCTATAGGAAAGAAGAAGAAGACTGAGGGTGGAACTATGTTTGGAGAGGTTGAAGGGGCCACAGTAGCACTGGCAGCCCAATTATTTCTTTACTGAGAGAGAAGAACAAGCAATAGACAGTAAGTGAGAGAGGAGAAGTACAGCGAGGTGGGCGAAAGTTTAGGCAAGTTCAACTCTGCACACTTTGGAACTATATTATTTTGCAGCTTAGCTTTTTAATATCAGTTATTGCCAGTGCTCATTTGGCTTACGGGTCTTTGTGTTAAGTTTTCATCTCAATTAGGATGACCACTTGACATAAGTGGGCCAATTACAAGGTGGAGTCAGTCGCAGCCAAAGGAAACATTGGCAGGAGAAGAGAGAGAGAGCCCACCTGAACCAGAGACAGGTCCCTCTTCTTCCTCCCTGGAGTGTGCTCCGACTCCTGAAGAGAGGCTCTTATTTAGATCCAGGAGTGCGGTGTGGGCGGGGGGGAGGGAAGTGAAGGAGCCAGAGGTTGTTGTTTTTGTTCATAATTTCCACACGCTTATGCCAATGGCAGTGTTTGCTGTGGCCGTCTGTCTGCGAAATGATTTATTTTGACTGGATCCTATCTGAGCAGGTGCAGGTGAGCAGGTGAGACCAGAGAGTAAAAGGTGTGTGTGTGTGTGTGTGTGTGTGTGTGTGTGTGTGTGTGTGTGTGTGTGTGTGTGTGTGTGTGCATGCGCGAGGTGGGGGGGCAGCACAGATAAATAAAGCATCTCTGGGGACTTTACAGAGGAGGTTTGTGAGCCAGTAGACCTACATGCACACGCAGCTGCTACGAGTCAGTAGCTATTCAGGAGCTCATTTATTTTAAGGGAGTTTCCACAGCTGTAAACTTCAAATGATACTCAGATACATGTCGTGAGAGTTTAAAGTGCCAACAGATGACTGATGTGATATTATCCATGAGAATATGTATATTCATCAATAATAATATTATGCGCCTTGTTTAGAGTCAATAAAGAGAAGGATTACTGCAGCAGGACCACAGACATGCTTAGGTTAAATTTTTAGTGTAAGTTAACATGAGGTCAGCGGTACAATGTAAGCATCCAAGGGCGACACACCTCGAGATGCAAGATTGTGAAACAACCCTAAAGCCCCTGTTGTTTTTAAGAAATTTGACTTGCAATGTCCAGCACACAACATGAAACGCTATATAAATATACATACAAAATACTACAATATACTGCAATTCTATAATAACAACGAGGTTCAATTTAAGAGGAAGTGAGCCGGAAGTGGCTGGAAATGTATACAGTCCTGTACTTGGTTCCAGTCTGAAAACTTTTATTATTTCAAATGTCAATGGAGAGAATGAATGGGAAATGTACTAGTCTGAAGAGCTCTGTCCTTGAGCCAAACAAACCCATAGATTATGATCTGTGTGTATGTAAAGCCATATGCACCGCGGGGGGCAGAGGCTTTTGTCGGAGCCTTACGCTGCCACAAGTAATATCACTGATTAGCACGACTTCAACCTAGCTGAGGGACCAATCAGTGACGTCGGCTAAATACTCCACATACTCAAACCCCCTGAATTACAGTCATTTTCCAGGTGGCATTTCTGTTCTATTTTTGGTATCACAGTTTAGTGACTGAGAAACATTGTACTTTATGGCACCACTTAGCTGCATTGTCATTTACATCCAGAACCAGTTCCGGCAGCAGAGTGAGTGATTGGAAATTGAAACACAATCAGACCTTCTTTTTTCTGACCTTTCATTTTTGTGATTTGAAACTGAGATCTGAGCATAACACCCAGACTTGTCACTTCGGATTCAATCCCAGGAGTTTGCTGACCCAGATTATTTTCCAGCATTTCTCTTTTTGATTTTGGGCCGACTAAAAGGTTTCCTGTTTTATCCTCATTAAGCTTGAGGAAATTATTGCTCATCCATGTAATTATTGCTGAAAGACATTTAGTGATGGAGCACAGAGCATTATCATATTTTGGCTCAGCAGCAATTTACAGTTGTGTATCATCTGCGTAACTATGGAAACAAACATTGTGTGCTCTGATGATGTCACCCAGTGGCAGCAAATGCAGTGAGAACAAAGAAAGGTCCAAGGCAGCTCCCCGTGCAACACCACAACAGCTGTCAGACTGTGATCTCCATCGCTGACATAGAACTTCCTCCCTTTAATGTATGT